ATACAGAACTTTACTAATTGGCTTTTATGTATGTGAATGTTTCTGTAAAGTGCCGTGAGACAACTTTGTTGTAATTTGGTGCTATATAAATAAACTGAATTGAATTTAATTGAATTGGGGGAGGCCACATCTGGTGCGGTAAGGTTATGCCAGTCTGGTGGGTAGCAAAGCCTATCTGACTCATAGTATAATCAAATCTGGGACTGGGCAGTTGCTGCTATTCCAGTAATGGCAGGACCTGGAGACAGTATGGCCAAGAATACAACTTTGAGCCAAGTTTTCAGACAGACAATAACGATAGGTCTTCCTGGAGCAACGTCTCTATGTTTGACCTGTCCCACCCAGAAACACAAAGCTCTGAGAAAGATCAGTTCAATGCAATTCATTTTATTTATACAGCGCCAAGTCTCAACAGACGTTGTCTCAGGGTACTGTACTAAAACATTCACATACATTATAAAAGCAGAGTTATCTATGTAAGGAAACAGCGGATTGTGTTGAATCTTCACTTCGTCACAGTCTGAGCAAGCACAAAGGAGACAGTGGAAAGGAAAGACTCTCTTTAACAGGAAGAAACCTGCAGCAGAACCAGGCACAGGACAAGCAGCCATGTGCTTCGACTGGCTGGTTTGAGAGGACAGGAAGGAGAGACAGACGAACACAGAATGACAGATCAAGATGAACTTTCTATAGGAGGAAAGACAAAAAACAAAAAAAACACGTTAAGGTAGAAATAATTACAAATACGAACAGGTTGAGCAGAGTAAGTAAAGACAGCAGCAGAGAGAGGACATGTGGTCAGTTTGTCCTCCAGCAGTTTAAGCCTATAGCAGTAGAACTAAGGGACAGCTCAGGAAACCCAAGCCGACCCTAACTATAGGATTTAGCAAACACACACACACACATAAATAAAAAATATTTTATTGTGTGTGCGTGACATATTTATATTTTTTATTCCATGTGCTGACTCACTGTGATGGTAAATTGGGCAAACCAATAAAAGCAGCAGTTTTCATGTATTTAGTTTAAAATTATAATGATGTCAGCTGAATTCACAGATTTTTCACCCCTTTTCATGTGTTGCTGCTCTCCATCTTGTTTAACTTAAATGCATCATTACTGAAGAGATATTAACAGTTTGCAAAATTAACATGAAGTGCAGTGTTGAATTAAAGGGTTTTATTTGAACAAACAATCAAATATTGGCCATTTGTACTGAATCCACATTATTACCGGTTCTTTGGCCTGTGAGCGTTGGTACACAAGGTGTGAATGACAGAATCTGTCAGAGTTTGGCACACCTGTGTCCCGTCAAACTGTCGGCTGTTGTAGGGTCAGGTAACACTCACGTCCTGCACAAATTGTGAAGAATACGTCTTTTCAGCTGGTGTTACAGTTTCCTTTATAGAAAACATTAGTTATTCCAAAATCAGTCTGAGAAGTTAAGGCAGGAACGAAAAAAAGTCATATTATGAAGCAAAACTTTAAACATTAAAAAACAACAAAATGTGTTTGTAGATTGTATTTAGGGTGAGTTAGTTTCCAGCAGTGTGCTGCTGCTGCAGCGCTGCGTATGAGAGACAATAGATTTGTCTGTGCTTTGAATGAATGGAAGATAAAGGGTGAACGTTCCAAGTTAATCATTAAATGTAGATCAATAACTCCTGTTCCTTTCTTTATTCTTTTCATATTTTCACTTCCTAAAGCCACCGTAGAGATGCTGTCTTGTTTTAAACTCAGAATGAGCAGGATTACAACGACTTTTCCTCTTCTCTGTCCAGTAAAGGGTTAAAAATATACATACATATTATACAATATACCAAATATAGCTTTATTTTAGCATCATTCACATTGAAAACAGTGAAACTTGGTGATTATAAAAGAGTTTCTTCAACAAGAAGGACAAACTATCAGTAACCACTCCTGTCTGACGTAGTTTCAGTGTGAAGAAACCAAAATTTGTTCCATAATTCGCTTGTTCGTTCTTTTTGTAACAGCCTACTTCTGTCCAGGGTTGCATTTTTGTTTGTTTGTTTGTTTGTTTGTTTGTTTGTTTTTCAAGAGACAGGGTGCTGGAGAGCCGTCATGCCTGAGCGGACGTACGCAGCTGGGTATGTCATGGATCAAAGATGCACATGTAATTGGATTTATGATAAAGGTTTCCTGCTTTTTGGCATCGGCTGCTTCCTGGTTTATCAACGTACAAAGAAGACGGCTGCAGATAATATGGCCCTGCTCAGGCTGCTGGCCTTATGTTTTTGTATTTTTACACTTTTTATTTTTCATTTTTCAAACATTTTTGGGCATATAACAGAAAGGTAAACAAATAAATAGAAAAGAATAAACAAAACATAGAAACAAGTATACATGAGGGAGTTTCACAGGTACATATTATTTCTTACAAAACATTGTCGTCTATCACAGAGTGTGAAAAATCGTTCCATTTTTTCCAGTATTTTTCAATTATTTTTCCTACTGGTGCTGTTGTACATGAAGAGAATAAGTCATAAGTTCCATTGATCTTATATGCTCGATAATTTGTATCAATTATTGAGGCTGCCGGCCTTATGTGATGGATTAATTCGTGCTTCGAGCTCTCAGACTCATGCGTTACGAGCTCCTGGAACTCATCGGCATGTTGGACTCAACTTCTGGAGAAAAGCTAAAGCATGGACTGGCAGAATGTCCACAAATCTGGCTGTTTGGATTCACCATCGAGAGTTCCTGCTGATCTGAGGAAGAGACTGGAACCAGAGTCTGCCCAAACAATTGTTCTTATCTCAATCTGGCCTCCCTGCTCGGCCTTGGAAGGCCAACATCTCAAATTGCTCCTGGTGGATATGTAAATAAAGAAGCTCTGCTCTGTCCACCCCCCCACCCCACACACACATACCCCACACCCCCCGAGAACTTCTGTGAACGATTATCAGAGCTGTACCGGCTGAGAGACACTGTAACATCTTATCAGAACTATCTGGAAGTGCTCATGGATAAATCTCACCATCATTTGTCATCCATGCACATGCATTGTTTCCATCTACATTGCTTGCTGTGGTAGATATTTTGATATTTTAAACCGTGCCCTGTTAAGGACACGGTGTGAGAGATCATTTTTTATACCTCTCTCTCCTTATGTCTTCCCTTTTTCTATCTAAGCAATAAGAGCAGCGCTTCTTACAAGCTGCAGCCCTGTACACCTTCGTCCATCTTTAGGATGGCTGTATGGAATGTAATTTTGTTGTATTTAACTGTGCAATGACAATAAAGCTTATTCTGATTCTGATGTGGGGAGGGGGTGATGCTGGAGCCAATCCCAGCAGTCAACAGGTGAGAGGTGGGACAGGTCACCGGGTCAACAGACATGCATGAAAACATCACCGTGAAGCCCAGCTGCATGACAAGATGTACTCCAGTTATTTTATTGTAAGTTGGTGCCGCTGCACTGAAAACTTTATTCTAAACTCATTCACTGGAATAAAATGAGGGATGAGTGGGATTAGTAGTCTGGGTCAGAAATCCCTTTGGTTGAACTTTATTGTTTTAAATAAACTCTGCTGCTTCCCCATTGAACTTTTTCCCAGTTCTCACTCAGGTGAAATGTGAAACATGATTAGGCACTTTCTTTTGCATGAAAGGCAGTAAATTAAATTACTCAGCAACTAAAGAATAGGCTCTGACAACCTCTGGCTACTGGAGACTTAAATACTTGCTGGGCTTTCCACGAGGACTTTGAACACACACACACAGTGCTGTTAATACAGGAGCTCCAGCAACCGGGTGAGAGGGCACAGGAACGGGGGAAAGGTATCTGGAGTATTCAAAGAAGAGCAGAAAATTAGATTTTTGCCACTTTAAGGCACAGGAAAGAACAATGAGGAAAGCAGTGGCGTTTGCACTTTTGCTCCTAACCATGGCTGCAGAGGTGAGAGGAGCCAAAGACGAGGCGAGAGCACAGAACCCCAACTCTGCACACACAAAGGAGGCTGAAAAGTCTGATGGGCTCCCTGCAGACAGCAGCTCTTCTTCAGGGTTTTCAGGTAACCTGCTGGTGGTGCCCATGGATGGGAGTCACTGGGTTGGTATCAAAGCCATCGCTCAGGAAATGGGCCGGCGTGGACACAGGGTCACCGTGGTGATACCAGAGATCAGCATACGGATGGGCCCCGGGAAATACTACGACACCATAGCCTTCCCCGTCCCCTACGACGAGGCTTACCTGGACTACGTGATGTCTTCGCACAAGGACATCATGGAGAAGATAAGGAAACGATACACGCAGGTCCAGAGGATAGCAGGTTTTATTCACACCACTGCAGAGAGCCTGCTGTTCAACAGCAGCCTCATCTCTCACCTGGCTCAGCAGGTGAGCTCAGACAGGAAGACAAACTGCAGGTTTTACTGAATCTGTTGTTGGGCCTCTGTGACGTTTTGTTGGTTTTTAATATAAAATAAATACCTTGAAAATGGCATGCTGTGATATTTGGAGATCTCATGTGTTAGTGCTCAGAACACGTGTTGAGGATGAGGCTCAGCTACTGCTCCAAATTCTTTGTTCAGTATCTTTGAAATTCATTATAGACATTTAGTGTTTGCAAAGTCTGCATAACTTTGGTGACCATCTTTAATGTTGCTGACTTACAGACAAATGACCTCGTGTAGAAACGGGTAAAATCATTCCTGCATTTTGCCTTCAGTGATGGCTGATGACGCAATAATTTGATACTCACTTTAATCTGATGGTTAATGTTTTAAAAAGAAATAATGCGGAATGGATTTGAAGTCGGGCAGCACGGTGGCGCAACTGGTAGAGCTGCTGCCTCTCAGCGAACAGGTCCCTGGTTCAAACCCCGGTCCAGGGGCCTTCTGGGTGGAGTTTGCATGTTCTCTCCGTGCATGCGTGGGTTTTCTCCGGGTACTCCGGTTTCCTCCCACAGACCAAAAACATGCATGTTAGGCTGATTGGTAACTCTAAATTGTCCCTAGGTGTGAATGAGAGAGTGAATGGTTGTTTGTCTCGTTTGTCTCTATGTGGCCCTATGATGGACTTGCGACCCATCCAGGGTGTACCCCGCCCCTCGCACAGTGATTGCTGGACATGGGCACCAGCGAGCCCCGTGACCCAAAATGGAATAAGCGGGTAAAGATAATGGATGGATGGATGGATGGATTTGAAGTCATGGCATGTTTGCTCTTTGTGTTTTATCACTTCTTTAAAATTGCTCACAACATGAGACCTAAAGAGACCACCAACCAAAGTGACGGTGAAATATTGTCTCTGTTGTTGGCTGTTAAAGGATTTCAGCTGTTCAGCAGCTCCGGCAGTGTTGTGTTCTTCTTGTCCCACTTCGCAGAGAGAAGACAGGAAATTAATACCCTCCACCCATCTATATGACCGTGCACGTTGTGAGTTTAACTTAAAAAATAAGTGAGGTACAGTCTTCTATTTTAGTGTGTGGCTGCATCTAGCTACGATATTGAATCTGCATCTAGGTACTATTGAAAATTGAGCTGCCATGTCAAAATCCAAGATGGCCACTGCCATGATTATTTATGTAAAGCAGCCACCCCTATCATTTAAGGAAATTATGCTTTCTAGTTTTCATATTGCTTAAAAGTATAGTTTCCTCAAACAATTGGGTGACCAAAGATTAATCTATGTGGGCCAAAGCTACCATTGGCCACCCCCTGACTCAGTCCCTGCATAAAATGGCTCCATCCACTCACCAGGATCCATCACTCTGCTCTGCCTCAGCCAAAAAAAAACAAAAAACAAACAAACTACTTACTTGAATAATTTGCACCAAAAACATTCAGGTGTACGTACGGTGCATTCCCTGTTCAGTCCAGAACAACTCATCTCGTAAACTATAAACAATCACTGTTTAAATCCCTCAGAGACAGGGGACACCAGGGTACCACTTGTTTCAAGTTCAAGTCAATTTTATTGTCATTACCATCACATGTGGTACATGAGGTGGAACAAAATTATGTGCAGGGTCTCAGTTACATCCATAGCAAAAATATAAAGTATAAAAAGAAACAGTATACAAGGATCTAAGATATAAACTAAACACTAATAATGTAAAACAATATGGCATAACAACAGCAGCCCTAACATGAGTCTGTGGTGAGTAGATGGGTATGAATGAATCCAGCAGCATGAGGTCAGCAGTATGGATAATCAGCAGCACATAGAAGTCACATATCACCAATTAAAATGTCATCACAGTAATTTATTTCTGGTTAGAGATTCATGAATCTAACAGCTTCATGGTAGAAGCTGTTCCTCAGTCTAGTGGTTCTACACTTAATGCTCCTCAGCCTCCTGCCTGAGGGGAGTGGGCCAAAAAGTGTGTGTGCTGGGTGAGTGGGGTCCTTCATGATGCAGGTGGCCCTCTTCCTGCATCTGGAGGTGTAGATGTCTGTGATGGTGGGGAGGCTGACACCAACAGTCTTCTGTGCAGCCTTCACCACTCTCCGCAAAGCTTTTCTTTCTGCAGCTGTGCAGCCTCCATGCCACACGTTGATGCTGGAGCACAGGATGCTCTCCACTGCACACCTGTAGAAGGAGGTGAGGACTGAGCTTCACAGACCAGCTCCTCTCAGCCGCCTGAGGAAGTAGAGTCTCTGATGAGCTTTCTTGATCAGGCTGGTGGTGTTGCTCCAGCTGAGGTTGTCATTCAGGTGTACACCCAAATACTTGTAGCTGGAGACCACTTCCACCACAGATTATCCTAGTGTTGGGGTGGTGGTGGTGGTGGGGGGGGGGGGGTTTGTTCCTTCTGAAATCCACGATCATCTCCTCCATCTTCTTCACATTGATGTGAAGGTTGTTCTTCCTCGCACAAGCTCTCCAGGTGTTCCACCTCCTGCCTGTAGCTGGACTCATCATTGTTTGTGATGCATCCCACCACCGCTGTATCATCTGCAAACTTTACAATGTGACAGCCTGGATGGGTAGGTGCACAATCATACGTGAGCAGAGTGAACAGGAGGGGGCTTGACACACAGCCCTGAGGGGAGCCAGTGTTGAGGGTTATGGTGGAGGAGAAGAAGTTGTGGCTCCTCACAGACTGTGGTCTGTTAAGAAGTCTAGTACCCAGTTGCAAATGGAGGGGCTTAGTCCTAGTGTGGATAGTTTGTCCATCAGGGTTTGGGGGATCATGGTGTTGAAGGCGGATGTGAAGTCCACAAAGAGCAGACGGTTGTACAATGTTTCATAACGAAGCAGATGTTTTCAGTGAAGATAAATATGTTCACTCGTCAGCAGTTGAACCCCCTGAACAAAGTTGGTGGAATAAATTAGAAGTCTTTCTGAAATAAACAAGACTTTCTATACAAAA